GGTACCTTGACACTAAAGAGGCAAAAGTGCTGTTTGAAATGTAAAATGACTCAAACTGCTACCAACGGGTAGAGATAAAGTTACAATGTCAGAATGCTCGTGCCCTTTCTAAACTGTGTTCATCAGTTGTTCGTAGTAAGAAATAACTGACATAAAAATAATGGCCTCATTTTAACTATACTTTTAAATATAGTTTGGCTTGTTACCTGAACTTCAACATTCATCAGTTAGTGGAAGCTAACACTAGTGGCAGCATTCAGTGTTATTAAATTTTGACTGCATTTATTAGGTTAACGTTAGCATTTATATAACCTAGATAGCATTTTTCTAGGTTAATGTTAATGTTGATGTATGTATATATATATATATATATATATATATATACAGTGGGTACGGAAAGTATTCAGACCCCCTTAAATTTTTCACTCTTTGTTATATTGCAGCCATTTGCTAAAATCATTTAAGTTAATTTTTTTTCCTCATTAATGTACACACAGCACCCCATATTGACAGAAAAACACAGAATTGTTGACATTTTTGCAGATTTATTAAAAAAGAAAAACTGAAATATCACATGGTCCTAAGTATTCAGACCCTTTGCTGTGACACTCATATATTTAACTCAGGTGCTGTCCATTTCTTCTGATCATCCTTGAGATGGTTCTACACCTTCATTTGAGTCCAGCTGTGTTTGATTATACTGATTGGACTTGATTAGGAAAGCCACACACCTGTCTATATAAGACCTTACAGCTCACAGTGCATGTCAGAGCAAATGAGAATCATGAGGTCAAAGGAACTGCCTGAAGAGCAGTATATACACACACACATATATTAGTGCTGTCAATCTGTTCAAAAAATGTACTAATTAATCAATTTTTTTTCTGAAATTAACCCCACAATCGCGATTAATCCCACCTAACAATGTTTTAAACAAGTTTTTAAATATACTTTTATATTGCAATAATTTCACATTCAATCTACAAATTAACAAAGAATTAACATAAAGACAGTATATTTTTAATATTTGTTTAATGGCATCTTTTTTATGACTGAAGGCGAGTATCACTGATACCAATACTCATGTCTCTATGAATTTTTTTTTCCTAATATTTAACCGTTAACTAGCCATAACATTACAGTATAATTAAGAGCTATCAATTTTAACATTTATTAAACTTAAAAAAATAGCAACTTCTAATTTAAGTGAACTTAAAACGATCTTCACATAAACCCATTATAATAAATGGCCATATTTACCTGTGTCCTTCAGCAAGTAGGAAACATACAGAAATTGAATAAAGTTATCAAACACTAAATTCGAAATTAAATATAGATGAAAGCTTAAAGCTACAAAAGTTATTGATTTCCTTTTTTTTTTTTCTTTTGTTCTTTGATTAACAGATCTGACCCACTTCAGGTCTTAAAGTCTCTACTAATGAGCTGACGAGTTGAATCGGGTGTGTTAGATGAAGGAGACAGTGCTGGGGTGCTCCAGACCAGGACAGTTTTGAAAACCACTGCATTTCAGAGACATGTCCTTGAATGTAACTCATATATAACAAATACATACATACACAGTTTTAAGGCAGCTTTAATCGCCTTTTTGGTAACTTAATGACTTAACTGACAACATAACTACGACATTGCATGCTCGTAGGTTCATTTGCACTTTAATGTGGAATTATATACAGCGAGCCATACTGCATTTGTGCGTGCAATTGAAGAGCACGTGCTATGAGCACAGGATAACGGCTGATAAAACATTTCATATATATATATATATATATATATGAAATGTTTTATATTTTGTCACTTCCCAACTACCCATGTTCCAGTAAGCCTGTCTTATTTTAACTGTGATATGATTAGGTTTTGAAAAATCAGGGGGCGTATTACAGAAAGATCCTAACTTTAAAATCTTATCTGTTTGGTAACCATGGTAATTTCAGTTAGGACCACATTTAGGACAAAAGCTATTACAGAACAGTGGTTCCTAAGTGTGTTATCTTATCTTAACTACAGATAGGAAGGAGGCATTACAGAAACCTCCTAACTTGACAAAAAATCCTAAAAACTGTCTTAACTTTAGGACAACCCCACAGCTGTCCTAACTTCAAAATTATTTGAAAGATAACGGACAAACCGCTTACAATTGTGCTGTCCAACAATGGTATTACATTTATTAATCATTGAAAATGAAGAACGGATTAATGCCTTACGTTTTTTTGCAAAAGGTGATTTTCAAAGTGAAGTAGCTGCTGTTATTCTGTTTACCTCATCAGCATCTCGTGCAGTGTTGGTTGCTTGGTAACAGACCTGAGAGTGGATTGTCGAGCTTGATAATACAATTTAAGGTTTCCTAACTAGAGATAAGATACAATTTTGTAAGATAGGATAAGAATCCCAAATCAAGTTAAGATTTGCTTCTGTAATACGAATTTCTGAAAAATCCTAATTTAACATATCACATCTTAAGTTAAGACCTAAGATAAGAAACTTTCTGTAATACGCCCCCAGATGAGTAACTGTTACTTTTAGTATGACTAAACAGTCAATCTTAACTATTTACTTCATCAACTTCATCAAGTCATACTGTAATGTAATGTATGTAAGAACTGTAATGTGTGTAACCTTTATGAAGGAAGAGGTGGGAGGTGTTTGACGGACAGTGGGTGGGGGCATCAGTCAGCCGTTAAAGGGGTCATATGATGCTGCTAAAAAACAGCATCATATGCGTTTTAAGCATATGCGTCTACATTATTTAAGCGTCTACATTATTTTGTGTATTTGGTGTAATGAAATGTGTTTATGCGTTTTAAGGCTCAAAAAACACATTATTTTCCACATACTGCACATTATTGTTTCTCCTCTATGCTCCGCCTTTCTGAAAC